ATCCATCTGTATTTGTAGAGGGGTTCTATTGAGTAGTTATGAGTAGTCAGAAGCTTACCTGCAATAGACCAGTCAGAGCTTTTTGAGGTAAAAGGAGTTAAAGGAACAAGGAGAAATTCCTATGGAGGAGTTACTCTGGATGTGTCATCTGTCTGCTGTGTTTTGGCTTCGTTTCATCACAGGCCTGACAGAAATCATCTCGTCTTCCTTAAAGGTGTGGGACACTCCTTTAATCAATACATGTTCAGTGGTCTCTAGTAAGAAATAATGTTTTGGAAGTTCTCCTCCTTGAACCGTCACCTTATCGTGGTGGAGGAGTTTGAGTGCCCTAATGATCCTAGGAGCTATGTTGTCTGGGGCACTTAGTGCCCCTGGTAGGGTCTCCCATGACAAATTGGTCTTAGGTGAAGGGTGAGACAAAGAACGGTTCGAAGGATCTTTCATGGCGGTTAAAACGAAGAGTCGGAGTACCCGGCCCGGAGGGTTACCGGGGTCCCACCCTGGAGCCAGGCCTGGGGTTGGGGCCCGTGAGCGAGCGCCTGGTGGCCGGGCTTTCGCCCATGGGGCCCGGCCGGGCCCAGCCCGAACCGGATACATGGGCTCGTCCAACTGTGGACCCACCACCCGCAGGAGGAACATGAAGGGTCCGGTGCAATGCGAATCGGGTGGCAGACCAAGGCGGGAGCCTTGGCGGTCCAATCCCCGGACAAGAAAACTAGTTTTTGGGACATGGAACGTCACCTCGCTGGCGGGGAAGGAGCCGGAGCTTGTGGCAGAGGTTGAGCGGTACCGGCTAGATATAGTCGGACTCACCTCGACACATTGCATTGGCTCTGGAACCCGAGACCTGGAGAGGGGTTGGACACTCTACTTTGCTGGAGTTGCTCCGGGTGAGAGGCGGAGGGCTGGGGTTGGCTTTTTGTTAGCCCCGAGACTCTCTGCCTGTGTGTTGGGGTTTACCCCGGGGGACAAGAGGGTAGCTTCCTTGCGCCTTCGGGTCGGGGAATGGGTCCTGACTGTTGTTTGTGCTTATGGGCCAAATATCAGTTCAGAGTACCCACCCTTTTTGGAGTCCCTGGGACGAGTGCTAGATAGTGCTCCATCAGGGGACTCCATTGTCCTGCTGGGGGACTTCAATGCTCACGTGGGCAATGACAGCTTGACCTGGAGGGGTGTGATTGGGAGGAACGGCCCACCTAATCAGAACTCGAGCTGTGTTTTGTTATTGGACTTCTGTGCAAGCCGCAGTTTGGCCATAACGAACACCATGTTCGAACATAAGGATGCCCACCGGTACACTTGGTACCAGGGCAGCCTAGGTCACAGGTCGATGATAGATTTTGTAGTCGTATCATCTGACCTGCGGCCGTATGTTTTGGACACCCGAGTGAAGAGAGGGGCGGAGCTGTCAACTGATCACCACCTGGTGGTGAGTTGGATCAGATGGCAAGGGAACATGCCGCGTAGACCTGGCAGACCCAAACGCATAGTGAGGGTCTGCTGGGAACGCCTGGCAGAAGAACCTGTCAAGACGGTCTTCAACTCCCACCTCCGGCAGAGCTTTGACCACGTCCCGAGAGCAGTGGGGGACATTGAGTCCGAGTGGGCCTTGTTCCACTCTGCGATTGTCGAGGCGGCTGTTGCTAGCTGTGGTCGTAAGGTGGCCGGTGCCAGTCGTGGTGGAAACCCCCGTACCCGCTGGTGGACACCAGAGGTTCGGGGAGCCGTCAGGCTGAAGAAGGAGGCCTACAGGGCGTGGCTGGTCTGTGGGTCTCCGGAGGCAGCAGACAGGTACCGGATAGCCAAGCGGGGTGCAGCAGTGGCAGTTGCCGAGGCAAAATCTCGGGCGTGGGAGGAGTTTGGTGAGGCCATGGAGAAAGACTATCGATCGGCTCCAAAGAGGTTCTGGCAAACTGTCCGGCGCCTCAGGAGAGGAAGGCAGCAACTCGCTCACACTGTTTACAGTGGGGATGGGGAGCTGCTGACGTCAACTGAGGCTATAGTCAGACGGTGGAAGGAATACTTTGAGGAGCTCCTCAATCCCACCAATGCGCATTCCGAGGAGGAACCAGAGCTGGGAGGCCTGGGGATGGACTGTCCGATCTCGGGGGCAGAAGTTGCTGAGGTAGTCAAACAACTACACAGCGGCGGAGCCCCGGGGGCGGATGAGGTTCGTCCTGGGTATCTCAAGGCTATGGATGTTGTAGGGCTGTCATGGTTGACACGTCTCTACAACATTGCGTGGTCATCGGGGGAAGTTCCTAGGGAGTGGCAGACCGGGGTGGTGGTCCCCATCTTTAAGAAGGGTGACCTGAGGGTGTGTTCCAACTATAGGGGGATCACACTCCTCAGCCTCCCTGGAAAGGTCTACTCCAAGGTACTGGAGAGGAGGGTCCGATCGATAGTTGAATCTCAGATAGAGGAGGAGCAATGTGGTTTTCGTCCTGGCCGTGGAACTGTGGACCAGCTCTATACCCTTGCAAGGGTGATGGAGGGGGCATGGGAGTTTGCCCAACCAATCCACATGTGCTTTGTGGATTTGGAGAAGGCTTATGACCGTGTCCCCAGGGTCACCCTGTGGGGGACGCTCCAGGAGTATGGGGTGGGTGGCTTTCTGTTAAGGGCCATTCAGTCCCTTTACCAGAGGAGCGTGAGTTTGGTCCGCATAGCCGGTAGTAAGTCGGACCTGTTCCCAGTGAGGGTTGGACTCCGCCAGGGCTGCCCTTTGTCACTGGTTCTGTTCATCACTTTTATGGACAGAATTTCTAGACGTAGCCGTGGTGTGGAGTGTGTCGAGTTTGGTGGCAGGAGAATCTCGTCTCTGCTTTTTGCGGATGATGTGGTCCTCCTAGCTTCATCCAGCTCTGACCTTCAGCTCTTGCTGGGTAGGTTCGCGGCCGAATGTGAAGCGGCTGGGATGAGGATCAGCACCTCCAAATCTGAGACCATGGTTCTCGACCGGAAAAGGGTGGCTTGCCACCTCCGGGTCGGGGGAGAGGTCCTACCTCAAGTGGAGGAGTTTAAGTATCTCGGGGTCTTGTTCATGAGTGAGGGTAGGAGGGATCGGGAGATCGACAGGCGGATTGGTTCGGCGTCTGCAGTGATGCGGACGCTGAGCCGATCTGTCGTGGGGAAGAGGGAGCTGAGCCAGAAAGCCAGGCTCTCGATTTACCGGTCGATCTACGTCCCAATCCTCACCTATGGTCATGAGCTTTGGGTAATGACCGAAAGAATGAGATCGCGGATACAAGCGGCCGAAATGAGTTTCCTCCGTAGGGTGGCCGGGCTCAGCCTTAGAGATAGGGTGAGGAGCTCGGACATTCGGGAGGGACTCGGAGTAGAACCGCTGCTCCTCCGGATCGAAAGGAGCCAGTTGAGGTGGTTTGGGCATCTGGTCAGGATGCCTCCTGGACGCCTCCCCGGGGAGGTGTTTCGGGCATGTCCTGCCGGCAGAAGGCCCCCGGGTCGACCCAGGACACGTTGGAGAGGTTACATCTCCAATCTGGTCCGGGAACGCCTTGGGGTCCTGCCGGAGGAGCTGGTGGACAAGGCCGGGGAGAGGACGGCCTGGAGCTCCCTGGTTGGGATGCTGCCCCCGCGACCCGGACCCGGATAAGCGGAGGAAGACGAAGACGAAGACGAAGAAGTTTTGGAAGTTGTACTCAGTGGGGAAAGAAGTTCTCTGTTTCCAAGATGCTAAACCAACAACAACCTTCCCTGTCGTGAGTCAAGATGGGTGAGTCCATGAATGTTAAGTGACAGTGTGACATTGATCTGTCAGGATTTTCAAATCCTAGAGTTTCACCGTGTATTTTCTATTAAATGCTAATGCAGGAGATAGGTGTAGGAGACTATTTTCATGTTCAGCCCGCATGGAAAACTCTGAGTGACCAATTACAGTCAAAATAAAATTAGAAAAATAGGTTTTCAGTGTCCCACACCTTTAAAAAAGCCAAACGAATCTCCCTTTTGTGATCACTTTTTTAAGTTTTTCCTATTCATGGACTGTGAGTCACTTTGGGTAAATACTTTTGTGTTTGTGTAAACTGCAAGAAAATGTTTGAGTTTGACCAGTTTCAGACAATACATATCCACTTTCAAACAGACTCTCTTCTACAAAAAAACCTATCTGAAAATGTTCCCAATTTATCAAATTGTCTGCTGCAGGTAAGACGCTTACTGCTCATAAATACTCCACACAACCCCAATAAAACAGTACACTCGAAACCTACTATAGAATTGTCTTTGTGTGTTTTGTTTTCCCCAGTATATCTGTGAATTTTGTACTTCAGGTTGTTGACAACGTTCCATTTAACGTGATCAGAGCTGCGAGCATAGCTGACCAAATATTAAGCCTCCTAAACTTGCCAGCTCCGTAGTGGATTTCAGTGAACTGAGAAGTACTTAGTTTCCCTGCAGTGAGGTTCTGATTATCGGCCCATTCAGCCAAATGCATTAATTTGATTTACAAACCAGAACATTCAATGATCTAATTCTGTCATGTTTGAAGTTGGAGTATTATGTTTATTGCATTGCGGCCAGACCATTTCTGTGAACAGATTTACAGTGTTCAATAACAATCAATCACGTATAAATCAAATAAATCCCATCAGAGATTTATCTTTCACATGATGCCAGGAAAGAAAATTTTACATGACAACTTTTCCCCATTTAAGAACCCCACAAGGATTCCACCCAACAGTGAAAGATGGAAATATTCTGCCCTTCTGTTCCAGCTGAAAACTTTATGATAAGCCATTTTCTTTAGCTACTTTAACTCAGTCATGATTTATTTGGCTAAGGTGACCTGGTGAAATGAATCTCACCAAAAACAAAAAAAAAGTTTCAGGAAGGTAATATCATTAACGGATCTGTGAGCTGTGGATTCACCCAAGAGAAGCTGAGGGAAGCTGTAAATAAAAGCTTAGAGCTGTAACGCCATCCCGGATCGGTCAAACTGAATAAAAATACGTGAATCAGCAGGAAGGTATATGACTCACTCTTATCCTGTTCAGGAGGTTCCAGGATGTCGCTGTCTGTGTCACTGGGGATGTGCCAAGGCTGTCTGATGGCCTGTAACTGCTGGTAAAACTCATCCTGAAATGAGAAAAGAACATGTCAGAAAGGTGATAAAAAGAAAACCGGTGGAAGTTAAGGCTAGAAAAGACACTTAACAGCTGAGTTATCAGTTTGTTTAAATAGTCTAACACAGAAGTCATCAACCATTGTGAAGCTGAGAGCTACTTTATGGGTACTGAGCCATATGCAGGGCTACCAGAGTTAAACTAAACTTCATGTGTAATGAACTGTTTTTTTTCAAAGAATAGTGTAGTTTTAAAATCTATATTTAATGCATTTGTGATTTACCCCTTATATTACCTTTTAATTTTCTAACATTTCTGGTGTTTGAGCACAAAAAATGCACTTAGGACATATAAGGGTTCAAAGATGGCAGAAATGTTTTTGTTTATTGTTGATTTGTGCGATAAGGAGAAAAGACCTCTGGGCACCAGGCTGGTGACCCCTGGTGTAGCAGATGACATAGCCAGACAGGAATGTGTTTTCAGTGGTAATAAATGTTAAAGACCAAGTTCACTAATTTTTCCAACACATTTGATGTGGTCTCTAGAATAAAAGAATGCCTTGTGATTCTACCTCTGTTTCAGGAACTAGACGTAAGCCAGAGCAGTGGGGAGCAAAACACAGCATGCTCTGGAGACCTACTTCCTGATATTCTAACATTTTTGATTGGCTAACAGCAACACAACTTTACCCCCGACCCCGTTTGCTCTGTAATGTTGATGTTTAATTCCCACAAAACACACAAGCTTGAAGGAGTTCTGCCATGTCGTGAGGTTGCTAATGCTAACAGTTAGCTTCTACTAGCCGAGACATTCTCTTCTGTTTCCTGCACCCTAAACCAACAACAGCCTTTCTCATCGTGAGTCCATTAATGTCAATTTACAGCATGAAATAAATCTCCGGCTGTTTCTGACCCGAGAGTTTCCAATTTTCTATTGGCAGCTAATGTGGGAGAAATGGGGGTAGAACACTATTTTCATATTTAGCCTAAAAAAAAAAAGTAGAAAACGGTTTCTCAGTGAACTTGCTCTTTAAATATCAAATATTTGTTCAACAAACAATAAATGGAAGAAAATCAAATCATCTGGAGGTGACTTTTATCCTGAATGATATCTATAGTTGGAAGTAATGATACAAAAATACAATCAAAAACATAAATCTGAGAAATTTCCCTTTTCCTAAGCATAGTGTCCCCTTGGCCTCATTTGAGAATCTGAATCCAAGACAGCAAAAGGTAAAACAACTTATATAAGAAAAATAATTCACATTCAAAACAAGAAAATATTCATTATTAAGACAAAACTTTTACTCCATGAAGAAAAGCACCTTAAAATGCAAACACATCAGGCCAAATCTGATGTAACATCACAAAATCTGTTAGCTATCAGACTGAACGTTCGGGATGACTCTCAGCTACTACAAATCTCCTAACTTCAAAGTTTAGCCCGATACCTTCATTTTCAATTGTCCCAATGCCAAACTAGTCAAGTGTCAAAAATATGTTTAACCAGTCATACCAATAATATTCTATCAAAAATGTGGTTGAAGAGTCTCATTATGTCCAACCAGTCCTTTAGCAGCACAACAGGTGACCTCGATTAAAGCAGACTGTGTGCACTGGAACAATGTTTTGGATCATGTCGCTAGGTGTCACCTGGTAAAACTGTCGATAAAAGCATACAAAGGGACCGTGAAGCTCTTTCCCAGTCATTAAGAGAGCCTTCGGAAAAGGCTCGTATTTAACGGGGCTGCCGTTAAGTAGATCATGAAAGGAAAATATGAAAAGAGATCCCTCTGAAAGTACCCCTTTTTAATGCCAGGCTCATTTTTCCACAGTGAAATGACATCCTACTGTAAAGACCTCCACGACTCCCCTTAAAACCCCACACGAAGTGTGTGTTCGGTAGGTCATGCACAGGCTCACACTTAATCTGTCTGTAAAAGCTCTCGTGCTCTACAGCCAGCTTTACTGGGAATGCACATTATATCTCATTATACAAAATCTTTTTAAAGTGAGTTTCTACAAGTTTTGCCCCATGTTTTAAACAAATTATGTAAGCCTGATCTATTTTTGTATGATTTTCCATTTAAAACAGGATATTTTCTGTTTTTCTTGCAGGATCCTTCTGCCACATATGGAGCTAAAAGCAGGAGACAAAGACTTTTGGATTGCTCCACAGGCAGCTAGACTGTTTCTGTCTAGAGGTTAAGTAAATACACAAAAAGTAAGTGCAAAAATAACAATTTGTGGTTTATGTGCTGGGTTGTTCGTCCGCCTGGCCCATGCTTGTGATGACTACCTCTAGGCAATCACTGTGCAAAGCCAAAAAACCATCACTTCAAGAAAAAAAAAAGTCTGGCAGTCCATCACATTTCGACTTACTTTTTTAAAAGGACAAATATATTTATAAAAACATATTCTCAAAAAAGATTAAAAAAAAGAAAAAAAAGTTCTACTTTTTAAGTTTTATGGCAATAAAACGCTACTTAGTGTGTTTTAATGACCTTTTTGGTTCAGACGCTAAATCAAACAGTTGCTGAAGTGACTCAAAAAACTATTAGGGGAACAAAATTTTAAGTAAATCTGCAACAAATTTGCCACTTTCCTGTTCTACAAAAATAAAATAGAACACCAGTGATGCTATATAAGGCGATTTGCTTCTGTAGCAGCTTTTCTCTGTTTTATTCAGCACTCAGGATGAGTGCAACGCTGCCTTTCCATGATTTGTTTCCCCCATTCAGCTCAACTCCGCCACCCAATCGCATAACTTGAGCCTCTTTTATATGACAGACCATCGCATCATTACAGAGTGATAAATCCGAATTTGTGGGTTTCGTAAATGCAGCAAGGAGCAAAGGGGAAAGGTGATAAAACTCGATTCTGATGCACTTAGCCTCGTAGTAATATTTCCGCATGAGCCCCTCGCCTCTGACGGCTAAACACGTGTCAGCCCCGCTAATTCCTTCGGAGCGACGGTGGGAGGCCCCCCCCCCCAAAAGAGGGTGGTCGCGTTAGTGACGTATCCTGTGCGCCGAGTGCCGGCCGGAAGGGATATAAACACAGATAAACATGGCCTCTCACTCGTATCTTTCAACCACCAACAACATGGCAAACTGGACGTACGCGGAGACCATGGAGCTTTTGGCCGTGCGAGCGGACGAACAGATTAGTCGCCTTTTTACAGGGACGGTGAGAGACAGCCAGCTGTTCGACAGAGTGGTGAAAACACTGGCTGAGTGGGGCGTCAAGCGGGACAAAAAGCAGGTCACATCAAAGCTAAAGGTCCTGAAAAAGAAAATTCATTAGTCTGACGTGTCTTCAGTCTGACGCTGAATGCACGACCCTGTACGTCACATGCGGGGGGCCACCGAGCGACCTCCCTTTATCCTGTCTTGGTTTGAGAGGTGCCTGATGGCGGTTTATTTTAGCTTCAGCTTTGCTACTATAAATGCCAAAATCCTCCCCCAGGGAGCCGCGGCAAATCCCGTTTTGCAAACGCTATGGTCCTGTAAAAACAGCTTATGTGACAGCAGATGCCTAAAACAGGTTTCCCTTTATATGTTCAGGAAACTTCATGTTTTCAAGGATAAGCCAATTGGTCTAATATATTTCTGAATCAAAATATACTAAAACCTACAATGAAAATGCGAAAAGAGGTAATGATAAACAACCTCGAACTCTTATTTTGAAGAGCCACACTACAGCATTTTTTGTGTTTTCAGCTGAAGAAAACGCAGTGTCCTTTCAAACTCAATGAGTCCTCTGGTTAAGTAAGTTTGCATTCACCAAAGATCCATTATTAAATGATGTCTTAAAGCTAATGTCATAAAATCGTACCTCAGATAAATACGCCCGAAGACTGGCACCGAGGCTGTCTGTAGTACTGAGTCCTGGAGGGGTCAGCAGAGGTCGAGTGAGGATCGGCTGACTTGTGGGTGTCACAGGGCGACTTCGTGACCTCCTGAAGGTCACCTCTTTGTGAGATCCAGGGTTACAACTAGAGCGTGTAAGTAAGCTAGTAGGGGTCACAGGTCTGCTAGGGGTTCTAGGGGTTGGAGTCCTACTCCCAGGGTTGCTGGGAGACTTTGTCCGTCCCATGGTCAAGGAAGTGGGCTTGGGATTATGCAAGGGGAGGCCGATGCTAGAGAAGTTGGGGGACTGGGGTCTGGAGACAAGGCTTTGGAGAGGAAGCATGCCAGGTAGTGTTCGATGGCGCAGAGGATTGTGGAGACTGCTGTGTGGATTATTGGAGCTCCGAGTGGTCATCTTTCCTACTTCTGCCAGTTTGGCCAAGTCCTTCTCAACCTCTGCAGAAGAGAGAGGATAACATGTCAGTATAATTATTTAAACACATTTTTTTTAAAGCTAAATAGAAAATTTAGCCTTTTAAAGGGATTCTAAGTAGTTTTGGCTTGCTTTTAGTACCCCGTAGTGTTCATTAGTAAAAACAAAAGGAAAACGTATCTCCTCGCTGTGTATTCATCTTTTTAACACCTTAAAGAGGGACTGCACACCATCAGAAAACGTAACTCCACCCCAGTCAAGATTTGAAAAATGCTATGAAAGTGGGCGTTGCCTGGAGGCACAGAGTGGCATGGCCAAGTGTGGGGAATTTCCATCCTGGGAGGGAGGCGGGGTGGGAGGAGACTGTACCGATGATGTGAAATTGTTCCAGCGCCAGCCAATCACAAGTTTAAAATGCAGTAGCCGCTGTTCTGCCACAGGGGGCAGCACTAAGACGTTTTTAGTCCTAGATTCTAGATTTAATCAAGTTTACACAAACATGTCAAAAATGCACAGAAACAGAAAGATTGCATTTGTAAAGACCCAGTTATTCAGTTAATTAGCAAAAAAATTTTATTTTGGGGTTTAGTTACTCTTTAATCTAAGTGCGGTGTTCTATTCACATGGGGCGGTGGGGGTCTGAGTAACATTTCAGTAACATTTTGAAAAGGCCATTTTAGCACATACTGGCTCAAGAAAATGATTTTAAAAATATGAAATATTGGCATACTATGGTTTTAACCCTCCCACTGTCCTAATGGGTGTGACTCCGCGAGGAAAGTTGACCATTGAGCAGGATTGATGGTTTATCCCTTGAGGTCCACATGGCAGGGGTGAGGTGGTGCTCACTCCTCACCCCTGCCACACAGACCCAAGGGATAAACCATCAATCCTGCTCAATGGTCAACTTTCCTCGCGGGGTCACACCCATAAGAACAGTGGGAGGGTTAAGATAGGTGTTTTTGTGGTATCAAAAATGATTGGATGTTAGCTTAATTTTTTTCCAAACTGAAGCCTTTCTATAGCAGTAAGAGGCATTCTGAGAAATTTCTGGGAGAGTGGAAGGTAACAAGAAAAGTATGCTGGCTCGGTCCTTGTGTCTCCATGAAAAAAAAATTGGCCCTTTCAAGACATTTCTAACATGCCAGCATATCGTGACCATTTAGTCTACAAAAAGACAAGAGTTTGATTCTGTCGGAATACACCATAATTGTATCCATTCAGGGGACGAGGAGAGCAGCTTTGTGACGTAAAAAAAAACACATTTTTCGGTGTTAAAGGTTTTTAAAAATGGGCATTTTAAAGCAGCATTTTTGCAATATTTTCCTCCAATTCACCAGCCACTCTTCATATTTTACAAATGCTGGTCATTTGGTGACGTCTGGTGATTTCTTTTCCTAACAAGTTACAACCAATTAGCATGAGTTAACCGCAAGTCCCACCCATCTAAGCTAGTGCGTCATTTCCGAGCACATACCAAAGTTCAGGTACTCGACTGGTTCCTGAAATGGTCCAAATGGTCCAAAAAGTGATCCTTTGTGCAGGTCCAGTGAACTGGATACACATGCAGACACGTAAAGGTCCGGTAAAATTACTCGGACGTTCCGATAGTGGAAACAGGTCCATAGATCAAAACGTCACATTAAAAAACTGAACTTTCCCTTTAAGATTTCTCTTCTCCAGTTTTGTTCCTCTTGACAGATTGAAATGACAGTGATTGAACTGCGTTTTTATATTTTCGTGACACTGCTTGTAATGTTTTGTACAAATCCCAGATTAGCTTCCAAGACTCCAGCATAACGTCAGGCTTGCTTTTGATCATAATTCAGAGGTAATGAAAAGAAGCTGGTCTGCATCCCGCTGGACAGATGATTCACAAATTTTACAGAGCATTAAAGTGGGCGTGACTGCTCGGCTTTAATCCTTCTTCTGGGTAATGGTGACAATATTTATAGACCTTATAAAATGTGATGAATCAAGTTTCCCTTAATAGAAATGAAAAGTTCCAAGCTGACACGCAGTGAGTGCGGAGTGTGACATCTATTTCCTCTGTTTTCCCTCACAAAACAAGCTTGTTTGCTTCTCCGGTAGTTTGAGCAACAATTTCTGTTTCCCAACTCCTCCGATCAACATCTGGACAACTTTTTCCTTCTCCTTCAATTGTTTTGCTTTCATTCCAAACTCTGGCAACGTGTGTTCAACAAAACTTGTGTGGGAGTTATCATCTGAGATGCATAATTCCACCAGTGAGTCATCAGGAGGGGGGGGGGGGGTGTCTTTCTGGAGAGTGGTGGATGTGTGGCGTCAAATAAAACAAAAGCAAGCACGACAAGTATTTCATGAACCTTGACTTCCATGTTTTTGAACAAATGGTGCTCCGCTTCCATACAAACAACATTTTTTCCATGCAATAATTTGAACCACATGTTCCTGTTGGCTGACAAATATCCATTTAGAATGCTAAGTGAAAACTCTCTGCAGCACAACTCTAAATATTGCATAGAAGTTCATTTTCACTGTTTAACCGCAGAACATTCCTAAATATTCAAATACACACATTTATTTGACAATACAATGACACTTTATGCTTTAGCCCCTCTAATTATGAAGCCATATTTCTTTAAAGAAGCTGCAGCCTTGAATTGAGTCTTCATTACCTTTTATTTATTTATTTATTTATTTTGCATAAATGCAAATAAAATAATTAAAGTGACTGTGTATTTTCCCTGGCAATGGGGCAGTGCATACCTAAATCATTGCAAGCAAGCAGTATTTTTGTGTTCAAGTAAAATCTGATTTATTCTCCGTCGGTACGGAGACACACAACTCCATTATGTGCAAGAGTTCTCTGACAGGCTCACAGAGGGTGACGGTGACATGCCCAAATTTTTAAATATCCATCGAAAGTGATGGAGACTGCAATCTTGTGATTGGTCAGGATGCCGCTTGCTTGAAATTTGTCATCAGCACCGCTATTGCCTCGTCAAAAAGTAAAAAGATAATTAGCGGTAGACACGGAACAGATTGAAGAACGCATCGTGGAAAAAGTTTGTAAATATAAACATTTATTCACCTGTGATTGAAGGAGTACAAAGATATGGAGCAAGTGTTTTATTTGTGGACGGACATGACGGGAAACGTGGGTTTAGCGTGTTGAAGGACAAATTAGTCCGTGTTATAAAGTCTCTGAAATATATAAATTAATAAATACACTATTGTTGACTGGATACATGAGTGTTATGGTGGCATGATACCCCAGAAAAGCGCTACGCCCTCTGCTGTCCTGGCAGAGAATTGCTTTGCAACATTCCCCAGGTGACAAATTAGTCCGAGAGCAAAACGTCTCTATCGATGCGTTTGCGTCCCTCCCTTGTGGAGCCGACGGAGAAGTATAAATCAGGCTTAAGACCTTACCGACGGATGGCCAAATGGGTCAAAAATCCCTGGGAGAGTACTTAGTCAGATCATTCAACCTCCAGCAAAATGAAAGGACATCAGACTCGCTTTCATTACTGGCAACGAGCAAAGAGGTAAATATGTTTACGAATGGTAAAAGTTTTGTGACAACAGGCTCCCGTAGAAGGAAACATGCCGTTGCCTAGAGACTTAGACCCGCTCTCATGTATTTTAGACCCAGTTTTTATGGTCATATGTATGAAGCTGCAAATATTTTCAACAACTGGGCATCATTTAATTCATTTTCACCAACATTTTGGTGAATATTCCTGAGATTAATGGTAAAAACTACACATTGTCCCTTTAACTCTGGCTGTTCAGCAGATATCATGACATCATCTTTCAGCTGTGTGTAATTTCAGCCCAATTAGCTCAATCTGTTGCACTGCCCCTGACCTTAAGACCAAAAACTAATTGCAGGGAACAAAAACCAAAGTGAAACTTAAATAAAAGTTCTAACGAGTTCAAACCCACCTACACCACATTGACCATGTCTTACGTTATTATTATATTTCTGCTGCAAACCGGCCATGTTCATTAATAATTTGTTCCCGTAACGTCGATCTGCTCAGCTCCACATATTTACACTTCCAGTAAAAACCACCATGTTTTAGGCCGTTTGAATCATCCTGTCTTCCATAAATGGTCGCTTCACTGCTGATCTTTTAATAAACCAGTCCTATTGACTTTGTGACATTGAACAGCAGCCAATCAGATGCAGATTTCACTGGAAAAAAATGTATTTTGTTGATTATCACTGACACTGGTGCAACAAGATGACTCCTGGAAATTAAGGGAATAAAAAAAAAACATCAGTGTAGAAAGTTTACAGGAAAAGATGGGACCAAGAGGAGACAAGAAGAAATAGAAACAGGCCGAATCTATTAAAGTCTTTGATCAGAAAGCAGAAACATGTGGTGAGAGAGCGAACACAGCCACAGCATGCTATAAAACCATTAAGAAATCATGCAATCTTTATTAGGTCTGAAAATAAACAAGACCAGTACTGACAAATTTCCCTGCAGGGTTGCAACTACATGAAATGCTGATTTGAAAAGTAAACTAAAACAATGAAGAAAAAAGCAGAAATACTCTGCACTTCCTAAGTCACATGTGTGCACTTATTCTGGCACTCATCCATGCTCCACTGCAGCTTTAATCACCTAAAAAAAACTGGCAATCTTGAGCAAATTCTCCTCTTTATTAAACTAGATTATTAATATGTGACACCAGGTTGTGTCTAAATCTCTTAAAAACATTTTTATAGAGTGAAAACAAAACTGGATTACTAAACTAATCTTTTATGATGGGTGATCTCACCGTTATCTCACAGTGCTGTGACTTTTGGACAGTTAGACACTTAATTGTTTGCAAAAGGTTTTGAAGAAAGTAAAGAATTAATTTCATTGTTTCTTATTAATGATTCCCAACCTTTTTTCCACAAGGACTGCCTTTCCTGTGTCCAAGAGAAACCGGCCTTCCCACCCCTACTTCTACCCTAAAACATTAAATTCATTCATTCAGAACATTTATTGGCAAAATAAATAAATAAATAGGTCATTTTCCT